TCCCAGGACCCTGGGATCATGACCTGAGCCGAAGGCAGACGCTTAACGACTGAGCCACCCAGGTGCCCCAATAAATACTATTATTATATAATAATAATTATATAATAATAATAATAATAACAATTGTTATGCAAATTGTATGAGAACACAAAAGAAGGAGTGATTCGTTCCACCTTAAGTCAAAGACAGATTTACAGTGGAGATGTTATTTCAAAGATGAGACTAAATCAGCTTAATGTGTTAGTAGAACTGACCTTGAAGTCCAAGATTTGGATATAAAACCTAGCTCTGCAGGTTTTTAGCTATGTGATCATAAGAAAAGTATGGAACGTCTCAGCCTCCATGATGGTTGTTGTGAGGATTAACCAAGCTAATGGAGGTTAAGTAAGTATTTAAGAGACTTAAGAGAGTGCCAGACACAATAGCATGGAAGCTATTATTATTAATTTACTAGCCACAAGAGGATGTTCCAGGCAAGTGGAATTGTCAAAGTTCATGGCTTATAAATGGCAAGTGGCCTAATGTGGCTAGAACAAAACATGGATTCCTTTTCAAAGTAGTAAGTATTAAAGAAACTCATAGCTTAATAATTATAGTTGTAGTATAGTTTAAAAAAAAAAAACTCAACTGAGCAAATCTGAGAATTTAATTGGCTTTATTAAGCAATTCATGAATTGGGGATCATCCCACATAGCAAGTAGAGGGGAGCTCCCAAGAGAGTTGTATAAAATGGAAGGTATTTGTAGGAAGGAATTTACAGGAAATTATTATCTAGAAAAGAAAGAGAAAGAAAAGATTATTTCAGGCAAGGGGCAAGGTTACCTTCCCTTAGGGGAAAAGGCCTAGAGTCCTATTGCCTTATCTTCTTGGGGGGTGAGGGGAGGAGGCCTGGGATGAGGAGGGACCATGTGATAGATTACCTCATTGGTGCAGACCGGAAAATTCCAGGCTCATTGGCTTAGAATTCCACACCTAGAGAGGTTGAAACTGCAATTAAGTCTTGGTTTCCTGTGATGCTGACTCTACCTTGAGCCTGTGGTTTTTACTGTTTTTACTGGTTTTACCAATATCTTTTTACTGAGAAAATACATTTTCAATTTTTCTCTCCCTGGTTTGAGGGAACATATGTCAAAACCACTGTAAAATCAGTGTTTTAAATTAATTTACATTTTCTTTTTTTTTAAGATTTTATTTACTTACTTGAGAGAGAGAGCATGAGGGGCAAAGGGAAAGAGATGAGCAGACTCCCCACTGAGCAGGGAGCCTGTCACAGGGCTCAATCCCAGGACCCTGAGATCATGACCTGGGCCAAAGTCAGTTGCTTAACCAACTGAGCCACCCAGGCACCCCTTTACATTTTTCTTAATTGTTATTTAATTACCAAAGTATAATTTCCAAAAAGTTAAAAACATGACTGTCATACAGGTATGTAATGAATGTGCACCAAAGATTTATCAATTCATATTAATGCAAAAGCCAACAAATAGGATATAGAGCTAGTTCACTCATTAATATGACTTAAATAAATCTGTTACACATGTTTATTATGTACTTATAGCAGAGTCATATTTTTAACTCTTTTAAAATTATATAAGCAGAATGAGATAAGGGTCCATGGAAAAAGACATCACTTCCTTCACATAAGAAAAGTCATTTTAGGGGACTCCTGGGTTAGCTCAGTTGGTTAAGCATCTGACTCATAATCTCAGCTCAGGTCTTGATCTCAGGGTCTTGAGTTCAAGCCCTGCACTGACCTCCACCTACTTGAAAGAAAGAAAGAAAGAAAGTCATTTTAGGCTCCCAGCCATCTTCTGAAAGAGTGTGAGAACAAATAGCCACTTCAGGTGAGGAGATAGCCTAACCATATTCAAAAGTGAAGACTGACTCTCTCTCAAATAAATAAATAAAATCTTAAACAAAACAAAAACAGGGGCGCCTGGATGGCTCAGTTGATTAAGTGTCTGATTCTTGATTTTGGCTCAGATCATGGTCTCAGGGCCGTGAGATAGAGCCCTGCATCAGTCTCCATGCTCAACTGGGAGTCTGCTTGAGATTCTCTCCCTCTCCTTCTGCCTGCACATGCTCTCTCTCTTTCTCTCAAATAAATAAATAAATAAAATCTTCAAAAAAAATTAAAAAAATAAAATAAAATGAAAAAGTGAAGATTGACCTGATTCATACACTTATCTTTACACAATTTAAGCTCCTTTGAGCACCTGGACACCAGACCAACTAGAGCCAGAGAATTGATGATGCTGACCCTTACTGCCCTTCCCACTTTGACCTGGAAATCTTAAAATAACTTTTTATAACCTTAAAATAACTTTTGCTCCAATTCAATGCAGTATTCCCCATTGCACAAGCCCCTTCATGGATATGTATGTACCCTTAGCTTACAAATTCACCAATTTTGTTATTCGGAGACACTGCTTTGGGAAAGAGCCCTGGGGTTCTCCTTCACTTGTAAGTAAAACGTTTGCTTTTCCTATTTTTTGGCTTGATTGTGTCATTTGGCTGAACACCCACCAAAAGGCAAACCCAGTTTCACATAACAATTACACATTGCCAAAATATACATGTGTATGAAAAGTGTTAAAAAGAAAACCATTAGCCCCAAATGAAGTCCTTTATGCTAGACCATGTCACAAAACCGATACTTAATAACTAACCTAATTAAAGTTTCAACCTCCCTCAGAAATATAGTCTTAACTGGTTGGTCAGGAGTTTTCTGACCAGCACCAGTGAGGTAATCTATCATAAGGGCCCTCTCCATTCCCCCAAAAGGAACATGAGGTAATCCACCAAATAAGACCCCATGCCCTTCCCCTTCAGGGAACTTGAGCTTTCCTGAAACAATCCTCTTTTTTCCTTTGCGAATAACTTCTTGCGCCACCGTTCTTCCTATAAAAACCTTCCATTTTTGGGACGCCTGGGTGGCTCAGTTGGTTAAGTGGCTGCCTTTGGCTTGGGTCATGGTCCCAGGGTCCTGGGATTGAGTCCCACATTGGGCTCCCTGCTGAGTGGGGAGCCTGCTTCTCCCTCTGCCTGCCACTCCCCCCTGCTTGTGCTCTCTCTCTCTCTCTCCCTCTCTGTTAAATAAATAAATAATCTTTAAAAAAAAAAAAAAAAACTTCCATTTTTGTACAACTCCTCTCCTAGGAGTTCCCCTCTAGTTGCTAGATTAGATATTGCCTGGTTCATGAATCTTTCAAAAAAGCCAAAAAATTTTTTTAGGAAAGCCAATTAAATCTTCAAATTTACTCAATTGAATTGTATTTTAATAAAAGTAACACATGCTTGAGATTACTTGTGCTAAAATCTGGCAGGGAAGAGTGCATGGTGTGAAGGCGAATAGACTCAGAATTTTTACTGAATAGTCTTGTGCTGAAAGTTGGCTCATACTGGCTCATGAGAACCAATCACATGTATCTCTTCCCAACTCTGTGTTCAGAATTTGGTGACTTCAGGATAGCTGGAAATCAGCTATTGTGACAGTATTTATAACACATAAAGTGATAAGCCCTACAA